CTAGTACAATTTCCATGTAGTGCACTTTCATGTATACATAATGGATCAGGCGCTGGATGGAGTCGAGTTTGCAAAATGTAATGTAGTATAGCATTTTATGAACAGATCTCAACTGACAAGAGGTCAGAGAATGATAATCCGGATCTTGCCGGACTACTTTTATTAATCGCCTCTCCTCTTGGTTACGAAAAAAAGTTTTTTCGGCTGATCATTTTTTTCTGATTTCTCAGACCAATCTGAACAAGAAAGACACCCGGTAGCTTTTCCCTAAAATTAGTCATTTCTGAGCTATGAAAAAAATTATCTACACTTAAACTCGGTTAAAAATGATTATTTCTGAGGTTGGCAAGTAACTCAATTAAAGCTAAAACCTTCCCCTACAATACCTCGAAGACCGCAAGATTAATTCAGCTTAGAGCGATTATGAAGCTAGTTTGTTAAGCCGTAATATTTTATTTTCAGACTCTACATACCACCTTCATTAAATTGAAACCGAAGCTAATGTTCGTATTTCTGCTTCATTTAACAACCCATTATCCCTATAATCATAAAAATATAAATTACAGGGGGCGAGGGGTTAAAAGAAATACTTCACAGTACGATAGTGACAGGCTTTCTGAATTATTACTAAGTATGGCAAATTATTCATGAGCATACTTTCCCGACCCATATATCTGAATTTCAACATGGGTTTATTTCTGGGCGACTTCTAATTTTGCTTGTTTTACCCAATTTGTTGCCAAGGCTCTGGATCATTAAGGCTCGATTGATGTAATTTATACAGATATACAGAAAGCCTTCGATCGAATCGAAGATTGCTCATTACTGCATAAATAATCAAACCATGGATTTTTTTAAAATCTACTCTCGCTCCTCCAGTCATATCTTTCGGACATACCACTGTTTGTGAATTATGGTGGTTTCAAGTCTAATAACTACATAGCTACTTCAGGAATCCCCAGGGGTCTAATTAAATGTCATAATTTAGTTTTCGCTGATGATTTGAAAATTTATAATGTCGTAACTTCAAAATAATTTGTAATAACTTTAAAATATACTTTTTTCAAATGCAACGGTTTCTAACAAAGAGGCTTTGACCCATATATTGCTCAAAACTTTTAATATCAAACCGCTTGAAGTACGTCGAAATATTTTCGCTTTGTCGTTTTTGTTCAGTTTTCGCCACATTAAGATTTATTGTCCGTTTAGCATGACAGAAAAGTCCTGGAACGGCTCTGTATTTTCTCGGGTAAGGTATTTTTGGAAAAGATCAAGGGCATGTCTTCAGAGTAACATGCAGCAGGGAATTCAACGGAGGCCTTGAATTTGACCTTAACCTTCAAGTTTAATTTACGGTCAACTTTATTTTTCAAATAAAAACCTGCGGGAATCAAAAGAACAGAAAATTCTACGTTCAAGCTTGTGTTTGAAGTCCAAGGTCAGGATGACTACTAAAGGTCAAATGTAGATCAGATGTGTACTGCTAGGAAAAGCTCTACAAATTTAACAGAATTAATGATGGAAATTACTATCAAGGTCAAGTCTGTAGTAAATTTTGATGAGTGGTCTTGAATTTGACCTTGAACTTCAAGGTAATTTTTTAAAATAGAAACCCGCAGCACTAGTATCGGTTAAAAATCATCTGTAACGAGCACCGTAGTTCCCTCGCTAAAACTTACCCGAAGGTCTGACCCTGCCAGATATTTTCGACGCTATTCATATGAGACTTCTAGAAGTTTTCCTAGCAGTACACATTTGGCCTTTATGTGACCTCTAGTGGTCACCTTGACCTTAAATTCTAATATACATTTAGACATAAAATTCCCTGCTTTCTGGATTGTCTATTGGGAAAAAGAGTTGATCTTGAAATGACACTGAAGGTTCAAGGTCAAATCCAAGATCATAGCTGCTTGTGAAAATTTATTGAAGAGCTGATCTTACCAGTTATTTTCGTCATGATCTCTGCGAGATTTCTACAGGTTTTCCTAAGAGCACATATTTGATCTTTAAGCTATTTGACCTCCAGCGGTCAACTTGATCCTAACTTTTAATACATATCCGGATGTAAAATTTTCTGCTCTTCCGATTACCTGCATTAAAAATAGGGATTGCCTTTAAAAAAAATGAAGTTGAAATTACGTTGAAGGTCAGGATCAAGGTCAAATCCAAGGTTGAGGTTCACTTCCTCGTTAAAATTTACCTGAAGACCTGATGTTGATAGTTATTTTCATCACCCATCCTGTGCGATTTATAAAGGTTTTCTTAGCAGCACACATTTGATCCTCATTCGACCTTTTACAGTTATCCTGACCTTGAACTTTAATTTTAGTTAAACGTGAAATTGTCTGTTTTTCCGATTGCCGGCATCAAAAATATACTATTAAAAAAAATAAAGTTGACCATGAATTAACCTTGAAGGTCAAATTCGTGTTACCGTTGAATTTCTTGATGAAAGCTACTGAAGACCAGACCTTGATCTTTTCCAAAAATACAGAGCCATTCTGGGACTTTTGTGTCACGCTGTATATGTTAAGTAACATATGCTTTAATGTTCCTCGCTTAGGTAGCCGTTATTGTGCTTCATTTTACTGTGATTTGTGAGATGGTATGTTATTGTTGATTATTTACTGATATATTGTTATTCTTACCTATGTATTTGTTTACTGTGCTTTATTAATATTTATTGACATTTTCTGCAATTGGGTGTAACTGTCTATTGGAAATAAACTTATTACTTCACGGAGCGGAGCTGCAACATTTACTGTAAAAGATGCACTTCCACTTACCTAAGGTCCCATTTTCTAAGACTCTGCCAGACAAATTGGGATGGAAAGAAGGATGTATGAAGCGAAACAAAGTTGGTTGAGAAGGTTAACTATTAGGTTCAATAAAAAAAGACTGGAGAAAATTTGTTTTACTTCCATATCCATTACAACGCTACATTTTATAATACATAAAGCACACACAAATTCTCCATTGCGTACCTAACAATAAATACACTGACATCCTGAAACGTAAAATTTAGTAGCCTTCATCCGAAAAGCTGATATTGTAATCCGCGTAGACGCGTTTCAGGATATCAACGGTGAGCTGGTGATCCGCCTTTCCGTAACCCTGCGTACCAAAAAAAAAACGTATAAAAACCCGCTACAAAAACATGTTGCGAATATATATTAAACAAGAGTCAAATCAGGTAAAAGCTTGGTAGGGGAGAAAAAAGGGAAAAAGCCCGTTGACGCGCTTCAAGTTTAGTGACAGCTTGGTGACGATGTTTCACTTCCTTTTAAGCCACAGCCTACGCACCGTTCAAGAAGGATACATGGTGCTCAGTAAAGCATTAATTGATTAAGCTCGTAAAAATAATGATATTGAGCCAAATATGCTAGTCAAAAAATGTTGCTCATTAATCAGAGTTTAATTATCAAAATCCTTTTTTCGATATAGCTCATTTATTTCCGTGGAATCCACATAAATATTGCTAGTATCTTGTCGGTACTTATACCCGCCTCAAAGTGGAACACGTTTTGGATGACAAATGAGCATCGTTTTGGGATATTCCACAACGTTAACATGCCTGAAGTATTCCCAGATGTCCATGCACTGGTCTCCTCTAGTGAACTAAAATATTCTTAATAGGGTATCCTTTTTTTTGGAAAACGAGTGGTTGCGTTTTTTTTTTGCTGCTCAAAACACCCCTACCGGGAATTTTTTTCCTACGCCGCTTTGAACAGCTGCACTTCAAACTGAAGAACTTACAGTCTAATCTCGCCCCCCTAGAGAAACCTACGCCTGCCATTTTTCCAATAAAATGGTAAATATTTCTGCTTTCTGGTACGGAAATTATATTGGTATACCCTATTCAAACCTCAACTACTCCGCGTTAAATCAAACATGACGGGTGATCCGCGTTCTATTCGCTTATCGCTGCCAACCCAGGCTTATATATGGCTCTCTAGGAGTGCGCAAATATTTCGCGCCCTGGAGTTTGCTAAGTGGAATTTATATAGTTTAGTATAAAATAGAAATGAATATGAGCTAGGTAGCTCAACCACAGACGACCAATACTTGGAATGACTGATGAACAAATCTCAGCGACGGCAACGACAAGTGTGGTGAGAAATTTTACTAAGATATGTGCACAGTTTAGTAGAATTCTTATCATTAGAGAAGATACTTCTAGGTCAAAATGCCAGCTATTTGTTTGATATTTACGTCCGTTCCGTTTCGTGCAGTCGTTTCAGTACTTTTTAATTGTCAAATCTGACTGCATTGTGCGACAAAATTTAAAAAAAGGTGAGAGTGTAAAACACCCTTCATAATTTAATACAGGACAATTCCGTAAAATTCGTTCACCTTGCAAAATGTTTATGTATTTCTTACGCCGCCACTGCTGCAAATGTGAATTATAAAACAGGTCATCAACTGTTGAAAAAATGGCTAGAACAATAAGTGATAGATATCGACGATTTTGAAATGCAAAGTCCTTGTTGATTTTATTTGCAACCCTTCAATGGAACGATGTGAATGACAGGTTAAATACGGTGTCTTTAGAAACATTTCCATGTTGAGATGTTTCCGTCTGTTATTTGCGCTCTCTATTGAATGCAGAATTCATGGAGTATGTATCTCATTACTTCGGTTGATAAGACTTTTATTGGATTACTGCAAGTCCTCCCGGTCATGAATTTTATACCGGATTTACGAAAGCTATGTATTACGCTTCAACGATAAAATAAATGTCATGTTGGTATCGATATAACTTCGAAAGTAAACTACGGTAGCTCCTCTAGACTTCTGACGAAACTAGACAAATAATTATTAAAATAAAAAGTACGTAATAGTCCGCGAGGTTTCTGTAAGATAATACGAGATGTTTGGGATTCCGCGGTTGTTGTTATATTTGTAAAAGTTGAACGGGAAAAGAGGATAATATTATATTACAGGGTAATTCAAATTTTCAAGAGAGTTCACAACTACCGTAATAAACAAACTTCACTCACCTGAGAGTATCCATAAACCTTGATTGTCTTCGATTCAGCATCATGACTTATTCGACCTCCTCCAAGAACCTTTGACCTCCAATCGCGGATGGTTTTGGATTCTTTTAAATCTTGTAGTTCGTTGGTTACTTTATCGTTGATGTCAGCTGCAACAAGAAAAACAAGACTAAACATACCGACTACTAGACACTTTTTAAGAAAAAATGAGCTACGTACATGTATGATTAAATCATTGAATGGATCAAGTCAGTCAAATAGGCCCATAAAATGAGTCAATAATTCCCATTTTTCAGGGTTTTTCAGACATTCAATCACGTACAAATCGAAAACGATCAACTTAAGAGAAAAAGTACTGGAGATCTTTTCTATATCAAATTCTCAATTTTCCAAAAATTAATTATACCGCTAAACTCAGCATTTAACCTGGCAATTTTACATTTAAGCATCAAAATACGTAGAATTGGACTAGTTTTCATATCATCTCAGTACGCTATTCAATAAGATGAAATGAGGCGACAGGATCAGAACAGAAACAAAATACAAAATATTTTATTTGCAAGGACCAAATACATATTTGGTATAGGAAATAGTCACATAAAAGAGAAAATAATATAACATTTATTTTTAAATATTAATTGTCGCAACAGTTGTCCGCTAAACTTTGGCCCATTTATAACTTGAAAAGTACCGCTCGTATTTGGAAGCTTGAAAACAAATCGGTCCAATGACAGTCGAGCTACAAAATAAAAATAGCCCAAACGGTGTTGGAACCGTATCCCAGTTCGCATTGTCAGCCGGGTCACTACTGCTGGTTGCTGTTTTCACTCTCTCAGTGGTCGATTTTGGTAATAGATGAGACTTTGTGCTGTCTTACTTCGACAAATCTGACCAAGCATAGACCATGCTGAGGAGTTGACCAATAGCACGAAACAGCTGTCCAAGGTTCGATGTCTGTGATCGGATGAATGAAACCTATATCACTAGTTTGACCATTAACACTGTTGTAATGTACTGAATATTTTTTTATTGTTCACTCCTTTTATGTTGTCTAGACTAGTCACTACTAGAGTTGGCCACATAGTTGACTAAACAATTTTTTGTTTTCAGGTATTTTCATTTCTTCTTGTGGTTACCTTAAATACTCAACTATCTCCAACTACCACTGCAAGTTTCATCCCCAATAAAGTTGCAGTTGCTCTAATCAAAGAATACAAGGCTAACCTTCAAACAATCTAGATAGATAGATTTTCAATTTCCACCTGTAGAATATTTCCTAGCTACCGTGCTCTCGTAAAGGAAGCAATCATGAAATGGCAAAGCTCACCTCCTCAGAACATTTTGTAAGAGGAACTTTCCTTATAACTCACTATTAACGTAAGTTTTCGTAATTTCTCTTCGCTCCGGTTGACGGCTTAAACACGAAGTTGGCTTATTGAGTTCAGGTGATGCTTTAAAGTACCCCTTCGTGAAATTGACAATAATGAGTATTTGCTTTAACCGAGAAACTTTGAGCGCGGAGCGCGGTAAACTAAGCGCAACAACAAATTACGTTGGAGCACAGTGATGCTCAAAATTGTCGACGACGAACAGTTTTAGAACAGGTCACGGTATAAATAAATGAAGTCACTCCAAGGATAGTTACAGAGTGCAATTCCCAGTAAGTCACCCTAGCTCTTCAAGTCTGATAGATTCAGCTGAAAAATAAATAATGAGCTGCTACGTAGGGCATGACATACTCGTAAGTGTTGTCGTATGGAAAAATTATGTATTGTTATACAAAATAAATTCCATTATATTTAATAGACTTTACCCTGCGTCCTTTTAGCTGTAATTTTTTTCCAAATTGCTTTTTCCTCAATGGTAGATGCGTATTTTAGGCAAATACCACTGAGTCTATACATTTCTTTTCCTTAAAATCAGATCGAGTAATACACGATCTTTGTAATGATTAACTTTAAAATGGTATTTTGCAAAAAAGAATTCAGAACTTTATCATCATCATTAAGAAGAATTTATACATATGTGGTTTCATTAGATCAGAAAGTCACGGGGTTCTATTGACATGAAAAGCACAGGACGAGCTTCAGGTGTTCCGTTAATCAATTTTTGGTTGAAAAAATAAATTTTGTTGTTCGGTAGACATATAAGCATTTACCTATTACTGAAGTAGGTTGAACGATTAAATCTACGCACTTTTTCACAATGCCGATCAATGGTTTAGATGTAAAATGCAAAAAGTCGTTTTCGCGCTTTGCCCGAGTTTTTCCCTATGTATCTTACATATATTAAAACAGTGATTAAAATTATTCTTTTGTCCAACTTATATATAACTAACCCTATTGTTTGCGGAAACATTAAAAGTTAAGAACAGTTTTTCGGGCTTTCTCGATTACTATTATTACTGATACAACTGCGTAGGTTATCCGACATCTCAGTGTTTCAAAACTCAAATACTATATTGAGCCTAAAACGTTTTTTAAAACTGGCTTATTTGCCAATGTCTCAGTTTGTATTGTTTGGACAATCCAAATTGTGTGAGCTATGACGAGGTGTTTGGAATAACCCATTAAAATATATTTAAAGGGGGGCTGTCCAGATAAGTGGCAAACATATCAAACACACCAAAATTGATCAAATTCGCAGTTTGATGTTAATAAAAAAATTGAAAAACTAAATAATGTAATATTTCGCGTAATGCCCTAAAAGCTAAATATCTAGGGGATGACATACGTGTTTCGTAAATAACTTTTGTTTTCGTAAAGCTGAAAACACCCGTGAAAAGTGTGATCAATAATTTTATGAAAACTAAAGTTGTTATACACGGCTATGTAAGTTTTAGGGTCCTACGCGGAATATTACACAATTTAGTTTAGTAACAAAAAAGAATGTGTGCTTTAGATTCTCTAACCTCAAATGTCGTATCTGACCGATCGTCGGTGAATTTGGAACACTTGCCAGTTGAATCAAGCCGCTTAAACAGTTCGATATTCCGGATCATCAGCAAGTTCTTTAAAGCTAATTTATCTATCGATGACCCAACCTTTAACCTCTCATAAAAAAATGTGTGACTTTTCCAAATAAACTATTCAATTGTATTACATATTTTGTAGTTATTACTAACGTAGGTGAAACGTTAAAGAAGTAAATTCATAGAATATTCGATACTGTGGTTTCAGTACTTTGCTGGTATAAGCGTAAAACATTTATTGATAACAAAGTTCATTCATTAATGGTTAATGGACCGGATTACTTTATTAATAATCAAAACTGATTTCATTGAAGTGTTGTATTACCGATACGCGGCCGTTTAGCTTCGCTACATAAAATTATTCGATCTAACAAATAAACCGGGACGCTACCTGGCTATAGCGTTTGCTGAAATTTAGATAGCAAAACCATATTGTTGATCTTTTCTCCCCAGTGAGATAAGGCAGCATGATGTTTTCACATGGTAGCCAACATAACTTGACGTCTTATCCTCTTATCTCAGAAACCAGTGGGTATATAAAAACATGTTAAATACGAAAGTTTCCCGGTTAGAGTCGTTTCATTTAATTGTATTTTTGTACAGAGGATTCAGTTCCGCAAGAGAGGGCTTGAAAATTTTTTTAAACAGCACCACCTACACTTTACTCCATTTTCGATTCCACGTATAATTTACAATACATATATTTTGTCTATAGATGCATGTGGTGATTTTGTTTGGCGTTGAGATATTGTATCATATTTTATTTTTGACCCTGAAAATGGCTCGTTGCAAGCGAAAACACCCGTCATGACAGGCATCGGCCTAAATCAGGGTGATTAAAATTCACATTCAAACCATCTTGTGAGTGAGCCCGTATGCTTTTAGAGAATAACGTAGGGGAAACAATAATCAAGTTGCTGGTTGAGTGAAATGATCGTCATATATTTGAAAGAGTTGGCAGTCAATGACGAGAATATTGAACAGTTTATGTTTGTTCAGGAAACGCTGTTTGAAAATGGCATCAAGTAGATTGATTCTCTACTTCCACCGCAACTCATAATTCATTACATATGCGGTACAGAGTCAACATGATTGGAACATCTTTCTAAAAGACTAAATATAATTTATAGGATTTCTTTTATTGCTGTGTGTAAAGCTGTTGCTGCTGCGAAAACGAAATAGGATAAATTGTCTCCAAACTTCCATCCTATGGCCTCCCAGAAAAGCTTTGCAGATGGGTGGCTGACTTTATCTCTGGCCGCAAGATATCCGTCGTAATTGACGGATTCTCCTCTTCATCCCACAACGTCAACGCGGGGGTTCCCCAGGGATCGGTCTTGGCTCCAACACTGTTTCTCTTACATATCAACGACCTCCTTACCTGCACGATCAACCCAATCCACAGCTTCGCTGATGACAGCACTCTACATGCAGGAATTCAGAGTGACAAGCCGATCTCTGCCGCTGACCTGGAAAAAAGAAGACTAGCGACGACTTCTTCTCTGACAAGAGACCTGGAGGCTATCACTGCTTGAGGACGCAACAATCTTGTACAGTTCAATGCTTCCAAAACACAGTACTGTACTTTGACGAGCGAAAAGCGTCCAAGCGCTCATGCAGTTTCGATGGACGGCCGAGTTCTACCAAAGAACTATCCATTTCGGCTGGTCGGAGTCCAGATCACCGAGGACCTGATCTGGCACGAACACATCTCGTCAATAGCTGCAGCTGCTGGGAAAAAGCTAGGCTATTTGTTTAGGGCTAAGAAGTACTTTTCTCCGCATGACCTTTTCACTCTATACAAGGCCCAGATAAGGCCTAGAATCGAGTATTGCTCACACATTTGGGGTGCTGCCGCCCCGACTACATTGTCCATGCTCGATGCTGTCCAGAGGAGGGCGGTCCGACTGATCGATGACTCTTCTCTAACAGACAGTCTCGGGACTCTTTCGCACCGGCGGGCCGTCGGCGATCTAGCTCTTTTCGATCGCTACACCAACGGGCTTTGCTCCTCAGAGCTCTCTTCCATGATGCCGCCGCGCGATGCGCCTGCCAGACACACCCGCCTGACTTCGGCGTCCCATCCTAACCGTGTCAAACTTCGTACATCCAGAACTGGCCGATGCGACCGCTCCTTTGTCCCGAGGGTGTCTAGATTGTGGAACAATCTACAAGAGGAA